AGAAGAATAACCACTATGAGTTAAACCATAATTCATGGTCCTTTCAAATACTTTAATACTCTACTCACAGCTTGCCAATGATGTGTACTAGGATTACGAGAATATCTATTAAGCCTTCCCTAAATATATGCTATATCAGGCCTAGTACTAGTCATGGCATACATTAGACATCCAATAGCCCTTGAGTACTAGTCATGGCATACATTAGTAATACAAGTCTGTTTCTTGGATGCCCAAGAAATGGCACCTCCTCCAAGAAGAAACACCCAACCACTAGTAGATGAGTGATCCTCTAAGTTGTTAATCCATTTGGCATCTGAATAACCTTCCAAAACAGAAGAATAACCACTATGAGTTAAACCATAATTCATGGTCCTTTCAAATACTTGAATACTCTACTCACAGCTTGCCAATGATGTGTACTAGGATTACGAGAATATCTATTAAGCCTTCCCTCAAAATATGCTATATCAGGCCTAGTACTCGTCATGGCATACATTAGACATCCAATAGCCCTTGAGTATTTCAAGTTGAAATACTATAGATCCTTTATTAGGTAGAAGCTTAAGACTAGGATATATAGGAGTCCTAACAGGAGAACAATTCTCAAAATTAAACTTTTTCAATGTCATCTCAATGTAATGAGAATGAGAAATTGAAATCCCATTGTTTCCTTGTTTTATTCTTATACCAAGAATTACCTCATCCTCCCCCAGGTCCTTCATTTCAAAACTAGATGATAAGAATTTCTTGGTTTTATCAATTTCTTCTAAATTAGTACCAAAAAGCAACATATCATCCACATATAAACAAATCATGACTCCTTTACCAAAAGTATCGAATTTGCTATATACACACTTGTCAGCTTGGTTTAATGCAAAACCATTAGACAAGACAACATCACCAAACTTTTGATGCCATTGTTTTGGTGCTTGTTTCAAACCATATAATGATTTCTTTCACTTGCACACTTTTTGTTCTTTTCCAGGAATCACAAACCCTTCAGGTTGTTTCATGTATATTTCCTCATCCAAGTCACCATTCAAGAATGCGGTTTTCACATCCATTTGAGGAATCACAAGATTATGTATAACTGCATAGTAGAAAGTCTGGCAACAGGAGCATAATATCAAATAAACCAATGCCTTCTTTTTGTCTAAAGCCTTGGATAACCAATCTGGCTTTATACTTATCAATTGTGCCATCCACCTTCATTTTTCTTTTGAGGATCCATTTACATCTTAATGCCTTGCAACCAGGAGGTAAATCAGACAATACCCAAGTATTGTTATGCATGATAGAATCAATCTCATCTTGAATTGTCTCTTTCCAAAAATGAACATCCCTAGAAGCCATAGCTTCACTGAAAGTCTTTGGATCCTCCTCAATAGTAAAGCAATATTGATGTTGAGACACAGTCGTATCCCTTGTTCCTTGAACTAAATATAGTTGAAAATCTGATACAAAAGATTTAGCGTTTCTAGCTCTAGTACTCTTTTTAAGTTCATGCATAGAAGTCTAGCATGCCATAATTCATATTTATTAAAATTATTGCTAGTACTAGTAGAATCAATGCAAATAGAATTATCAATAAAAGGATAAATAATATTAAGTCTAATCAGTTCATTGCATAGATATCCAGATCCCATAAAAGAACCATGTCTTGAAAAGATATACTTGTCACTTTCTAATACTTGTTTGTAACCACAATTATTTAAAACAATTTCAGACACAAGATTCTTTCGACTCCCCGGTACATATAAAACATTGTTCATACATAAACTCTTTCCATAAGTAAAGTAAAGTAAAACATATCTTAAACCCTTGATTGGTTCAGTTGCAACATTTCTTATTTTCACCACATATCCATCTTCAATTGGTTGACATTCCTTGAACCAACAAAGATCTTTACATAAATGGCTTGTTGCTCCCGAATCAACACACCATGCAACATCATCATCCTGCACATAAAATGCTTCAGAAATCACAAAAATATAATTCTGAACATATTTACAATTCTTTACGGAAATAGAAATCTGAACTTGTTGCTTTTCTGGATCCTTGGATCCACTTGGTCCAACACCAACCTTATTCATTTTGCGAAGACGAAAATCTTTCTTGAAGTGACCCGGTTTGTTACAATTCCAACAAACCAACTTAGCCTTCTTATTGGAAGACTTGTCATCCTTTCCTTTAAACTTTCCTTTTCCATTAGACTTCTTGAGTTTCTTTGAACTTCCTCCTTCCACCATGTTCACAGAAGAGGAACCAACTTGGTTCTTTCCTTTAGGATTGTTATCAAGTTATTGAGTCCTTAAGGACTCTTCAATCCGTAAATGGCTTCCATGTTGAGTCATAGTTAATTCCCCTTTGTTATGTTTCATATTATATTTAAAATCTTTCCAGGAAGGGGGCAGTTTGTTAATGATCTAAGGCACATAAATGGCTTCATCCATTTTCAGATTGTGTTGAGCAAATTGTCCCATAATCCTTAACATCTCATGAAATTGTTCCATAAAAGGCTTGGAGTCAATCATCTTGTAACCCATAAAGTTACTAACAAGAAACTTCTTGCTAGAAGCATCTTCAACTATGTATTTAGATTCAAGAGAATCCCACAGTTCTTTTGCAGATTCGGAATTTTGATAGATATCAAAAAGAGAGTCAGATATACCATTGAGAATATGACCACGACATATGTAATCATCATTTTCCCACTTTGATCTCCTTCTTCTTGCCTCCAAAGGTTCATCTTCAACAGATTCTTGTAAGACTGACATGGGTGTACTCAGAACATACACTTCTTTCGGAGTGGTAAGGATAAAGTGCATCTTCTTCTGCCATCTACGAAATTCTTGCCCTTCAAACTTGTTCAATTTGTCAAACTTGTTTGTCATATCCTTCACAAAATCACCACTTTCCATGATCACAAAATACTTTAATCTTTGTTAGAAACTTGAGGTAATAAAAGGCTTGGCAATTCTGAGAATCGTGTGTACACTTTCTGATTAAAGTATTTAGGTGGTACTCCCCATCTTTAATCGGATAAGACTCGAAAGAGTTTAAAAAGCAGAGAATATGAAGTTATGATTTTCGTGATTGTTGTTGTACTAGGAAAAATGATAACCAAAATGATTAAGTGCTTCATTTGTCTGAAAACTGTCAAGACAGTTTTCTTTGTCCAAAAACTACTCCAATTGTCAAAACCAATTTATAACAGTCATAAACTGTCACTAAAACCGGATCATTAATAAGGGTCAAAATTAAGTAAAAAATCGGGTTCATTTACAAAAAATTCAGATTTTTAAGCCTTTTTTTATATATCAATATAACTCATATAAAAATTTCCGACCCCAGCCAGGGGCTCTGCCCCTTGGACCCCACTCCCAGGGGTGCTGCCCCTGGACCCTCGTTCATTTAGAGGCTTCACCCCTAAATGACAATCTACTTAGAATCTTGAATGAACTTAAACAAGTGTGCACTCCCACATCTTCCTTACTTGTTTAATATTCAACAAGATTGATTTTTAGTTAACAAGTCAATCCATTACACTTAAATACACATTGATGATACAAAATCACCAACATATTTGATTGTGGCTGTGGACAATGCTATCCATAGCAATTTTGAAGAATAGACGGATATGAAAGATTGATGGTTGAAGGTCAGGATTTGAAGTTAAACTAAAGTATTATTCAAGTCTAGTTTAAGAGGGGAGGGGGGGGGGGGGGGGATAACAGATATTAAACTAGAGTTAGATATTGTTATTAGTATTAGGATTATGTTAGTCAGTAAATGGTGATAATTAATGGAAGTTAATGGTAGTTAACATGCCTCTTTCGAACCGGTGTGAATGAATAGTCACGATAGTTCACGTACTCCCTATATATAAGCGCAGGTAAAACCAAATATGATATATGATTTGTGATATATATTAATAAAAGATTGTGTTTAGCATCACCTTTCATGTTGTATATTTTCGTTTGAATTTATGGTTTTATCCTTATCTCCAACAGTTTCAAATTATAGAAATGAATAATTTTAAAATGAAAATTGTTGTTGTTGTTGGATAAATTATATTTTAATGTTGTAAAACTTAAATTATTTAAGTTAAAGTGTTGAAAAAATCTTTTAAGTTTAAAAAAATAGTTTATTTTAACAACATTTAGATGTTAGAAATCAAACAATCTTCTTGTTGTAGACTGTTATATTTGGTTTATATCTTATTTTGCAGATATGATCGACAAACTACATACATTTTACATTTAAAAAACAAACATCTAAAATTATAAATTTGATGAAGGGGAAGGTCGTTATTTACTCATTTAACACATGGCAGGCACCAAAACTGTTATAAAACCTTCCGATATGGATTGAAATTGAAACTTTTGTTATAAAACCTTCCCATATGGATTAAAACTGAAAAAAAAAACATTTTTTTGGACTTATCTAAAAAGACTACCTAAAGACAAGGACCACAGTTGTAACTTAGTCAAGGATATAAAACAGAACACTTTACCACTGCAGAGCCAAAGAAGTAGAAAAGCAGCGGAAGATGAGTAGATAAGGAGACTCTAGAAACGACGTTGTGCCGCTCCCGGAGATATCCATTTTTGGCGGCTCTCTCATCTCCGGTAAGTGCGTTTCATCTGTATGTTTTCGTTAATCCACACAAGTATTCCGTAAATTTAGTAGAATTAAAAGTAAATATGAATTCTTAGCCATTTTGAATGAGCAATTTTGTTCCCTTTTATGCAGCATATCCTAAAGTAGTTTAAATGATGTCGTAATTGAAGATTATGCCTCGGGATTTGTGATTTGCTAGATGACTTCAAGTATTTTGGTGGTGGAAACATAAAATTCTCTTAAAATTAAGGTAGTAGAGAGTATTAAGTTGCTTAATGCTTATACTCTTTCTATTGGTTCTTGTTGTTTAGATTCTTCAAGTGCAATGTTGTAGATATCTGATTGTGTTTTGTTTTCCCAATATTTCAGGTGAAATGGACATCAGCAACAGCCACAACAACCACATCTTATGGTTCTTCAAGCACAAAGGTTTCGATGACAAAGGCATTAACGAAATCTTGAGAAAATGCAAACGCCTCGAATCTGTCCAAAAACAAAACCTATCTGAAAACTGGGATTACTTAAAATCCATCGGAATCCAAGAACGAAAGCTTCCATCAATCATCACAAAATGTCCCAAAATCATGACCCTCGATCTAAACCAAAAACTCATCCCAATGATCCAATGCCTCACAACTCTGTCAACAAAACCCGAAGAAGTCCCTTCCGCCATAACCAAATTCCCCCACATTTTAACCCACAGCATCGAAGAAAAACTTTGCCCACTCCTCGGTTTCTTCGAGTCACTGGGTGTGTCAGGAACTCAACTCGGTAAATTAATCCTCCATAACCCTAGAATCATAAGCTACAGCATCGATTCGAAGCTTTCGGGGGTAGTTGACTTTCTTGTAAACATCGGTTTGACCAAAGACGGAATGATTGGGAAAATCTTGGTTAAAAACCCATCGATTATGGGGTACAATGTTGAGAAGCGATTACGACCCACAACCGAGTTTTTACTTTCGTTAGGGTTGACGAAGTCTGATCTACAAAAGGTAGCGATTAATTTCCCGGAAGTTATGTGTAGAGATGTGGATAAGATTTTGAAGCCGAATCTTGATTATTTGAAAAGCCGTGGGTTTGATTCGGGGCAGATAGCGGGTTTAGTGGGGAGATATCCACCGATTTTGATTAAGAGTGTTAAGAACTCGTTGGAACCGAGGATTAGGTTTTTGGTGGAGGTGATGGATAGGGGAATTGAAGAAGCTGTGGATTATCCCGAGTTTTTTCAGCATGGTTTGAAGAAGAGACTTGAGAGACGTGAGAAGCTTTTGAAACAGAAGAACGTTTCTTGCAGTTTGAGTGAAATGCTTGATTGTAATCATAAGAAGTTTCTTTCAAGATTTGATCTGGTTGCGAAAATTGTTTAAGCTATTCCTTCCATCTTGTCTCTGTGTAATATGTAGTTGTTTTGAAGATTTAAACTCATGAGCTATATATGTGAGTTTTAAGCTATATAAGAGAATTTTAGCCACTTAACAGATAAAGTCCAAGTCAAGAAAATGAACTTTTATGTGCTATATTCTTTTATCCAGACAAAGTAGCCAGTTTGATTCTGTTTCAGATTCTTGTTCAATCTTTAGCTGATTATTCTCATCAGGAAATGAGTTTAGATCGGAACAACAATAACAAATTTTCTGTTCATAATGTCATACATAATCTTTAGATGAATTCATGTTTATAAAGAAACTAATGAAAAGCTTGCATACTTTGGCAAACATTTGCAAGAATTTATGGCTTCCGCTTTCACAGCCATTATTTGTGAGGGTGCAATTGAGGTCGTTGGAAAAATAATGGTGTTCGAATGACTCGCAAGGCATGATACAAATCAATTTACACTCTTGGAGTTAAGTTTGATAGATAAAATGTACATCTAATTTACTATTCTTGATTTTTTGTTTTTGAAAAGAAAAACAATTTAGTAAAAACCTACTCGTAATATTTCAACAAGCATTTCTAGTTGTCGAGTTTGAGCTTTTTTATAGGGCAAACCCAACCTCATAGGTTTTTACAAGTAAATTTTCATCGGATGTGACACTTTTTGAGGACTACATGAATGTTCTTTCACAAATCAATTTACACTCATAAAGTTAAGTTTGATAGATAAAATGTACACCTTATTTACTATTCTTGATTTTTTTTTTTTTTTATGAGAAGGGAAAACAATTCAATAGAAGCCTACTCCTAATATGAGCTTTTTTATAAGGTAAACCTAGCCTTATAGGGTTTTACAGGAAAATTTTCACCACATGTGATACTTTTTGAAGACTACAAGGATGTTCTTTCACAAATCAGTTTACATTTGCGGAGTTAAGTTTGATAGATGAAATGTATACCTCATTTATTATTCTTGATTTTTTTTTGAAAAGTGAAAACAATTCAATAGAAACTGCATGTGATACTTTTTAGGGACTACAAGGATTGAACTTGTCACTTCCACCCCGCATGATTATTAAACCCAGTGCATCCACCAAACTATCTTGGACTTCGTTTGCATTTACTATTTTTGATAATTGAAAAAAATGGTATTTAAAACATATATGTCAAATATGGAATATTTTTTGAATAAATGTTACTATTTGAAATTATTAGATTAAAAGTTCGTTTAAATATTTTTTAGTTTTCTAAAAAGGTTTTAAATTCTTTGACTTATCTTCTAGCCTTTTGATTATTATTTTAAAAATTATCGTTTATCGAGAGCAAAGTACTAAAGTTGATTCGGTTATTGTCGCAGCAGGAAATTCAAGCAACTTCACACAAAACCCAACAGCTTTTGCCTTTTGCTTTTAGTGGGTGGTTCAGAACACACGGTTCCTCCCTTCGCCACGCCGCCTCCACCACCCTTCAATTCGCTTCATTCCTCCATTTTTCTAGTATCTTCAAGCTCCATCGGCACCACATATTCATTCTATACCGATCGTATAAGCTACAATTGGCTTAATTTTCCTCGATTTGCAGATTTTAGTTTTAACCACCGAACGCGTAACTGTTGGTGCTATGGTACAGCTTGATTTTGCCAAAATTGACGTCTGATTTCCTAGTAAGTTGCTTTCGACAACTCTGTATTGGTTTACATGTTGTTTATGATACCATTTGGAGGGAGACGATATGAATTCTTAGTTTATGTAATCGAATAAGGGTTCATGCGCACTGATTGAAGTTTTTCGTTATGAATGTTGTTATAAATCGATTTCAATCGCTTATGATCGCCACATTACATAATTCAAACTCAATTGCCGATCCTACATCAATCTGTGTACATGCTTTTAGATGTTGTGAATGGGTACATTGAACATGACTGATTTAGCATAAGGAATACATAATATGGTTACTAAATTAAGCATCAAAACACAGATGTTGTTATATACGAGACTAATTTTAGCCCAAACAAAGATGTTTCTGATCGCAAACTTATCTCTAAAACTCGGAGTCTTTCTATATTTCGAACTATAAAGACGTTATGTTATACCAACCTAATTTAATTTAATAAATGTCCTCCATGAATTAGTGAATTGTGAAGCATTAAATAACTTTCCATGAACAATCTAGGAAAAACAACGAAGATGGGTTCTGGTGATGGAATTCCTCATTGGAGTGTCTTTGATAATGTGAAGATGATACCTTCAAAGCCCGAATCTCTAATGGCAGCAATCAATTCGGGTATTTCTTCTCTAGAGTATGCCAAGGCCACGAAGCTTTTGAATTCTTCAGTTCCTTTTTCAAAGGATAAGAAGAGAATTGATGATGAAAACCCTAATTCCTCTTCTGTATATGATGTCAGAAGAGCAGATGAAGCTTATAAAGAAGGACTTGCATATTTGGCTGCAGGTGATCTTGAGGAGGCTTTTCAGTCCTTGAACTTGGCTCTTTCAAACTGCCCACCCACTAAGCCTGCAGTGGTTGCTAAGCTTCAGTCTCTTATTACTCTCACAGCTCAACGTCTTCAAAAATCTCCCTCCTGATTTTCATTTGCTTTCTTGTAGTTTTAGTGAAATTTTTTACTCAAGTTGCATATATGTTATGTTCTCAAATTCTTAAATATATTCAACCTCCAGTTTCCCATTATGTTTTTTTTTCTCTCCTTTTTCTAATTGTATATAATAGATAAAATGCAAGAAAACTACTTTACGATAAATTTGTCCCTTGTGGTTTTAGTAAATCACTAAATCATTGTGTTTAGGTAAAAAGCTGGTTATCCCAAGGTTGAAGATTGTTTGATTCAATCATGTGTAACCTTTAATAACAAAGCCATGTATCTTATACAACAATTTGTATGAATAAATGACGTTTAAGGAAAAATGAAATTATGAGAAACATAACCACATGCATGGGAAAAGAATTGGAAGGGCAAAATAAATGACAAACATTCCTTCAACCATTCCATTTCATCATACAAAACAATCGATTTTCATTCTAATGGAATTAACCATTCCATTCTATTCACGATTGCATTATACCAAACACTACCTACGAGTGCTGTTATTTTTCTTTCACAAAAAACTACAAGTTCATATAAATAAATAAATAAAGGAAAAACTAGTTCTAACACAATGATTCCTCCATTATTATTTAGTTGATGGGTAGATAACAAAATCCAACCAAAACAGCATTTGTGAAAACAACAATAGCAAGGATTAAAAAGGTGAGCTATGAACCATAATTTATGCTCTGTGCTCGATATATGAACCAGAAAGTCCAGATGTTCCCAGAACTGTCACCTGCAATTACAGAATACCATAGTTTCAATAACCATTTCCCAATGGAATGGGAATGGACCATTCCATTTCTTCCCTTATTCCATCATACCAAATACTACAATAATGTTTTGTTAAAGAGAAGAAGAGAAAGAGAGAGAGATGCAATACCCTTCCCCAATCACCACCAAGACCACTGCATCTCATTTTGAGATGAATAAGTTTCATTCCCAGCTCATTCTCGACCTTTTTCCGCAAATACCCCTCATCTGCTCCAAAAGAGTTCAAGTATGCATAGTAGCGTTCAAAGGCTACAGTTAAAGCATCAGCAACATCACCCGATAAAGGTTTCACATCCTGCAACATAATTTCACCATTCAGATAACATTTCATGAAAAAAAAAAAGACATATAAAGCTTCCATGAAATTAATGTTACCTCGCCACTCAGTCCAACACTATCATCAATTTCCATTTTCAAAGTCACAAGGAAGCCAGTAAACTCATCAACTGCTTCTGCAGCACGTAGAAGGTTGGCTAATGCCTCTTGGCTAGCCTTGTCTTCAGTGTTCTTAGATAATGCTCGACTTGCTTTGTTGACAACACTGTCTGGAAGTTCAGCCCAGTTTACAGCCATGAGCTCCTTGAAGGCAACCTTAATATCACCATCTTTAATGTCTGGTAAGTGTGTCAACCCACCATCAGTCAAGCATCGTGTGCTTCCAATTCCCATTGCAAATGGAGAAAGACTTTCTATACATAGAGAATACCAGAATCAGTTTGTCAGAAACTCGATTGAAGAGCAAAACCAGAGAAAATCTGATGTGAAATACGAACAATTGGCATAGTGTGAATAGGTTTTCTTTCTTCATCTAACGAATCATGCTTCATAGGCGACTGTTTCTAAATCAAACTACTAAAACGTAGAGAGGATACTTCAGGGAAATAGTGTTTAAAAAAAATCCTGAATTCCTGATAGACATTATTAGCCCTAAAATCGTATGATGTCGTGATGAGATAGCAAATTAACAAATTCAAATTATTCTTCTCGAGGAAGAACAATAGATAGATAGAAACAAATAAAACGAAGGAAAAGAACGTTACTGTAAGGCAGTGAAGATGAAGGGTGCTGAAGGTAGCAGATTCCACGGCGGAGGCATTGGTTGTTGCTGTTCACGGAGGTGGGGGAGACTAAAACTACAGATCTCCGTGCGATCGAACGGTAGAGAGATCTCATCATCACCAATTTCTCCATTGCTGTGTTGATGTGTTTAGAGTAAGGATCGGAAAACGCTTATCGAGCCCTTTTGGTATGCAGGAATGTTTTGTTCTTGCAAATGAAATGAAAAGGACTGATATGTTAACAATCAATTTCCAAAGACAATTTACATTTAAGTCCCATAATAGAAAAATATATATCAAACTAAACCCTATAATATTTGTTAGCTTTATTTATTTTAGTTGGGTTCGATTCCAATGAGTACTTCAATTTTGGTGAATACCTGAGGACAATTCTCATTAATCCATTTTGTCAAGAGCAATAACGTCAAATGCAAGTATTAGATTTGACATGATCGCATAACGTAATGCGGATTCGATGATATAATTACATGTTACACATCTTTCATACAACACAATTAATCCGAGTTTTTATTACTTTTTATTTGCTTTTAATAAA